AATATTAGCACTTGAAACACATTAGAACGTAAAACGACATCAAAATACAGCCGACTGCCGCAAGCCGGCCAGCAAGCGTTGTTCAACTAGAGGCGTGGCTCGTACGTACTAATGAGTATTTCGTATTTACGTCCCAGTTGTTTGTCATTAAACAAACAGCCTGAAGTGTCGCAGACGCTGCGGCGAGGTGAGCGACCCTGCGGCATGAGCGCGGCCATGCCGGTTAGCGGCTTACTTATCGCTACCTACGTCACACACCTACTGCAACTGGACCGCGAACCGCGAAAACAATTTCGCATGACTAACGCGAAATGCCCGCGCTATCGTGCAGAAATTTACGGATCGCGAGGGGTTACCAGTTGCGTTCTTTATATCTTCCTGCTAAAGCATGCAGCTAGTATATACTCGCATATATACAAAAATTAGCCGTTCTCTCGAAATTAGAATTTTCAAAATTGTATCTATTTAAGGAATGTTGACACTTATTTAGCGTATTATATATATTCCATTAGAAGCACACAAGAAATAAAATAAATGTAGAAAAGAACGAAATATAAAAAAAAATCCACGAAAATTTTTATCATTAAATTATTGATTTTTTAAACAAATCCAATAGGCATTTTTAACTATAGAATCTAATTAATTTTTACCACAACAGATGTTAAGATTAAAAACGGACATAAACACTTAATACTGCTTATATGGGATCACGTCACGTTGTTCCAATTCCGACGATACCTCACGCTGAGATCTCATCGGAATAGATGAATCATTTGATATGAATCATCGAACAAATTCTTGATTAACAATAAATATTTATAATGATTTCTTATATTTACGCGAACACTATACATGATTAAAACTACTTTTACGGATTTTATCGCGTTTATTTTTACTTTTTATTTACTTTTATTTTTAATTCCCGACGTTTGGCTTTCCCAAAGGGAAGTCTGCAGTTTGTGATCATATCCTAGACGGACCCAACCATTACATCAGATTTGATAGACCACAAATCCTCGCGAAAGAACACCGATTCCTACCAAGGATAATACGTGAGGCTATTGAAATTAAAAAACATCCTAATTTCAATAGAGAAGGAGGCTGGGTACTACCACCTGCTTGGGATCCTATAATCAATAAAATTAAAACTAAACCCAAGCATACCACTGCAAGACCTCAGGACATAGTCAGTTAATTTTGCATAGATCGGACCATAAACAATAATTAAAAAAGCTGAAGGTACTCCGGGTTTAACAATGACATCGGGACGTCAGTCATCTCAGTCCCCCGTGACTATGGGTGCTGGAAAGCGCCCGAAACGTCGGGAATTAAAAATAAAAGGAAATAAAAAGTAAAAATAAACGCGATAAAATCCGTAAAAGTAGTTTTAATCAAATAAATATTTATGTTTTTATATTTAAAAGCATTAAATTCGTCTTCAAAAAAAAAGGGAGGTTTTTAATTCGACTGAAAAAAATTGTATTTGAAAATTTAATAAACCATGTTTTTGTATTGTGATCCGAATTTAAGCTATATTCAAAGTTTCAAGTTTCCAGCTCATCGGGAGTTAGTTTAAAGTTATTCACTAAATTCCACCCCGGAACAACAGACAGAGACAAGCAAGAAACTGACTTAGTAAAAAGGTGGTAAAAAAGATATTCTTTTTTTGTGTAATGTTACCTACGCGATACCTTCATCAATATTGAATCAGTTTTAATGATTCCATTTTTATTAAAAATGTCCGGGTGTGGTTCCAGATAAATTTAAGAAATATAATGCCACCAATAATGGTTGAAAACTAGGAGTTTAAAGTTTTCAATGTAATATTCATATGACATTCAAGCTTGTGATATATCACCCAAAAAATTAGACTTGAAATAAAAAGTAATAACCTATATCCTATATCAAAGAATTGAAAAGAATAAGACAGCTTATTTATTATTTATTTAAAACCTGACTTCTGAAACTATTGTCTGATTTTTTAAATTCTTTTTAATCAATAAAAAAGTCTAATTTTATTATGTGCAATTTGTCTTGCAACAGTAATACAGCGACCAATTAAGATCTATTGTGATCGCTATAGTCACCCGAAATGAATTGCAGGAGTTGCATAACTATGAGGTGTTTTATTTCCTCTGGGTTTAGTAAGTACATATTCCCCAGATGAATGTTTCGTTTGCGGATTAAGGGTCCGTATTCGGTTTCGGTTAATGTATGCGGAGGTGTGGCGCCTCGCCTAAAGTCGGGATCAGCGCAGTCTTGAGTCCTAGAATAGACATGTGCTATTCTATGCAGCAGTGTCCAGACACAGCTCTTGCTAAAATGCGTAATCTGTTCTTAATCAATCTTAGGGGTTCTAAAGAGAATTTCAGTAACACCCACGGATTAGCCTTAGGCTCAATGGTTTAAGGTTAGAATTTTAGACCAGGCGTCGAAAGATTTTTCGTGGTAAGTGTTTCAATGGTCAATCGGGCTAAATTATTTGAGGCCTATTTGCCTTGTTCTTTGCCTAAAATTATGTCCTGGAACCCAACTAATAATTGCAGCCTATTTACGTCCCAGCGCTACCTGTTTTCAGTACATATTACTCACTTTTAAGAAATACTCGAGGTTATGAACAAGCTTCCGTGGGAAGCGCATATGTGGAAGGAAATTCCAGAAGTTTTACGGCTTTCTTTGTCGGTATAACCATTCCGTTTACGTGAGACATAAGAGGTCCAAGTATATTTTTTTATTTTAGATTTAGTAATAGTTAGGAAACAATAAAAAAGTCTAGTGTAACTGAATACTTCATATAATCTTGAAAATTGACTAAATATCACCGTTTGATATTCAAAAGCATGTATTTGCCACGTAAAATTAAATTAGATAAATTTGCATATTTATGATATAAAAGAACACTTTTGGAGACCTTCGTTTAAAAATAACCGTTATTATAATATTGGTTTTCGATTTACGACATCTTAGTGCAGTGACACGGTGATTTGTAAACAAAATAAGAACATTTCACGCTTAAAATAATAAATACGATACATCTATTTTTAAACATACATTAATATGTATAGTAAGCTTTCAGAGAAACCCTGCTGTGAATAAAAATTTATTTCCGTGGACATAACATGTTATGCGATACACGATTGAAATGGAGATAAGAGCTATATAAACCTAGATTGAAATTTCGACCTGCGGACCGCCAAATTACACATAACCGTGGCTTAGCAAAATAAAAACACAGGAGGAGCCAGTACGCTACTCCCTCGTGCAACCATTAGTTGGATGTCACAGCTACCAAAAATAATTGCACGCGAAGCACTTTTCTGTTAATTACATTTAGTAAGTATATTATACCTACAGGTCTATTGAAAAGGCTGATACATTGCGATCTTCACAGTTTTTTACATATTATATAACGCCGGTGCTTATCTACAGTTCCGCGTGGTAACCCACGCTCCATGGTAAATGAAAATGCAGCTACAGAAGTCATGCATCGAAAATTACAAACTACTGACGTCTTAATAATGACAATGCGTTAGTAGACAATCAAAAAATTTATAAGTGGTTATGCGGAAATACAATGACACCAACATCAGGCACCAATCTACATAAATTTGCTTCGATTAGATTTTTGGTCTGGCAAGTTGCAAATTGGTTGCAATTGCAATTGGTGTCCAAAAAATCGTGTCAGAATTGGTGAGAGTTGACTAGTGTGCATTTTCGATTTTTAGAAATAACAATATTTTTTAAAAAAATTACAATAAATGGTAACAAATATCCTGGTATTGAATATTACGCTCATCATGATTCATAGAGACTGCTTCGATAGACGATACGTCATACATACCACAAAAACACACGGGGACTATTCTAATAATTGTATCAAACAAAAAGTGATTGGTAAATAAGGTACAACATATTGTTTAAAACAATATAGAAAAACGGAATGGAAAATTTTTGTATGATATTGTTTTTACCAAGTTAAAAAATATACATGATCATTCCAAGGTCAAGTTTAATAAAACTTTGATTTACATGATATTAACTCGAAATGACATTAAAATGTAACTACTTCTTGATTAAAAAAAATTGTAAAAAAATTACGTTATAAAATAATAATAACTAGTTATCTTAAAATTTCCTTTCAACATTTTCTATATTATCGTTACAAGAATGGTAGATAACCATGATTACAAATATATTTAAATAGCAATATTAAAGCTAATTATTAATTACATAACTTTTTTCAATCGTAATTAGACCATTGAATCGTCTAAGATTTAAACGCGCGGATAAAGCCAATGTATCAACCTTTTCAACAGACCAACATTAAATTTTCTATAACAAAGCTTCGAGTAAGCAGAATTAACCCTAATTTAGTTACATCACAGCATGGCAAGCATATACATTTTATGCATTACTCATTTCAGATGCTCCACATTATAGCAAAGAAATGTATGAACAAAGTGTAGTATATCATATTAATAATAATATTATAATATTAATAATAAAAACTGACCAGAAATGCAGTCATCTGTAAAATATCGACATTTACTACAAACGTTCTCCATTATGTAATAAGCTAGTATTTTATCGTCAAACTTATTCAACCATAACATTTTACTACATAGATAAGTTAGAGTAACCGATTACGATAATATGTAGTACCAAGAATAGTAGAGGTATTACTTCTTAAATTGGTTATAATACACATTCATAATTTATGAATATGTAAATGTTGGTATGGTTAAGTGGTTCCTTCATTTAAATAAAGATTTCAAATTTTAAATAAGCAACACTAAATTGATTTGGTTTTTTAACTACATTTATAACATTTATTTATAATATATAATTAGTATATACAAATAAACGAAAATATGTACGTCCGTTTAAAAACACATATGATGGACATTGATGACTCATGTAGCAAACATTGTATTTAATGGAACCAAATTTTTAGAATTATATTTATGGGATGTTTTCGGGAATTGAATCATTTGAAATGATTAATGCATAAATTCGTAGAATATGTTTGCTGCAATGCAAGATATCTAAGATAAGATATTAATCACCCGCCACCATACAAAATACGGAGAAAACTCACCGTCACAGGTAGCGGCCATGAATTTGCCGTTCGCAGAGAAGTCCATATGAAGAATGTTGCCAGGGTGACCCTTGAGATTCTTGAATAGCCAAGGATGGTTGAACTCCGTCTTTCCTTTCCATGGTGCGCGTTTTTTACTTTTGCCACTCGGACGGTTTTCGGTGACCACAGATTCAGAAGCAGTGTTGTCAACTTGAGCTCCTGTAAAATAAGAACGCAATGCATTAAAACTTCTCGTTAAATTTTAAAATATCGTATGATAAAGATATTTTCTTTTCTTACGGTTTCTTCTTTCGTGACCGTCCCCTAAAGAGCACTAGCCTTTCTTTACTGATGGTAGGATTTGCTCTATAGATCAAGATTACAAAACAATAGCACGTAAGGGTATTGACAAATTTAGACGAGGGTGACCACAGCAGACAATAAGTACCTAAAGGTTCATAAAGATATTGCTATTCTTTGTTAAAAATTAAAGCTGTTTACTGTTTATTTGATATATCTAACAGGGTAGTACAAAGAATTCACTTTCCCTTTTCCCAAACCCGTTTCGTGGGTCCAACTTTTTGTTAGTATTATTAAAACTATATATAATGCACGGGTGATTTCTGGGATATCGACAACAGCGCCACCTACTGGGTGGTCCAAATGTAAATATAAACTCTCTAGGGATCCATTCAAAAATTTCGCCAAAAGCGATTGGATGATTTCAAAGTCTATAACGGATATAAGTAGATTTTTTTTGTGTCTTTATATATATATATATAAAAGAGATTAAGTCCATCTACGTTATTAAAACTGAATATTTTTTCCTTTATTAGACCGTTTCAAAGGGTCTAACATAATTAGTCTACATGTAATTTATGTATGTAAAACGACTGTACAGGAAATTATATCACTGCAGATGTAATATTTTTTATATAAAAACTATAATACATCTAACCCAAGCTATTGTTTACATTATTGTTCTATTAAATAAATTATATAAACACACTTTAATAGCAATAGCATAGTGAACATAACAATAGCAAAAGTGATTCAGTCAATTGTAAAACAATAAAGTGTGTTAAAGTAGTAGCTATTTGTAATTGATGGTTTGAATTAATAAAAATAGGACACTAAAGCTTATTAAATAAAATATTAGAAATTACACAAAATAATAAATTAAATGGATTATAATGATTTCTTACTTTAATACAAATACTGGACTATATATGTCTTAAGATTATTTTTGTAGATTTTACCATATTTCTTTTCGTTTTGGAATTGAATTAAAATTTCTTATTTAAGTAAATAGTAGAAATTAAATTACTTAAATGATAAGTGTCGGGAATATATAATTATATAAATAAAATGCTAAAGTGCCTTAAACATAGACTCATTCATATAATAAAAGTTGCTTTATAAATAAATCATCAATAACAACAAAAACAAATAAAATTGTACAATAAATTTATAACTAAATTCCCAATTATAGTAATGTGAAATATTAAATATTAAGTACCAACAAGAGAATGGGCAATAATTTATACTTCATCAGTAAATGAGTCTAAGATATTAAAACATTAAAACATATGTATACTACACCTGTTTTCCAATAGATTTTCAATTTATATTGTATAATATATAAATTGTATTAAAAATGTCCGAAATTATTATAATGTTCTAAAAAATGTTACAAATATAAAAAATGTTTTATTCATTCCTTCATTATAATATTTATTGGAATATCCTATGGTACATGCAAAAATACAAAAAAAAAACCATCAAATTGTTTGTAAAAGGTACCTTTTCTTTTTTTGAATTCATAGTAGACAGAAGTGCAAATGGGGAATATTTTGTTATGAGAATATGTTTATTTTTCTTTTTAGATTTATAATTATTTATTTTAGAAATACTACCTCAAACTATTTCCAAAATGAATAATTACGTTACCCCCACACTAGGATTTTATCCTGTATCGTGGAGGTAGTTTACAAACATAAATAATGGAACAAGGACAAACATCCAGACCCGGAAAAATTATTTGTAGGCCATACAAATACTTGTTCTGTGCGGGATTCGAACCCGCGGCTCTCAGTGCAGCCACTCATTGCTAAGCCACTGTGCACTGTGCACAACACAAAGCCGTGAAATAATCATAGACATAAGTTATAAAACATTTAAGTTAGACCTCACATTTCTAGAGGGTTATGGAGCAACCAGTCCACCGCTGCCTTTACTACTGAGTAGATTTTTTAGAATAAGGAAATTCACTTGTAATTGCAATTACTAATTTCATAGATACCTACCAACATACACACCAGCACAGTATGCACTGTGAAATTTATGGCGAGAGTTTAGTGTTTGGGACTGTATTTAATTAAACTCTACTAGTGGTATAAGCACTTTAAGCTACAAACTTAGGTTAATTTGGTACCTTTGTTTTATAATTATTCTCTGGCTGATGGCTAAAAATAAAAAGAGGACAGTTTGAGGGTGCAACTGATACTTATATTGGTCTTACAAGGAATTGCAAACTTTTTTCATTATGAAATAAATATGTTATGTTGGTGTTGCCAGAGCAATGCAGGACAAATTTTTAGATTAACTTAAAATTGCTTTCTGCCCCTCATCTTTAAAGTTTACAATATCTTAAATCAATTTTTAGAATAATTTGTAGAGGAAAATATACCAATAAATTAAACAAACATAGGAGAAAACATTACAGATGATCCGAAGTTGGTAGAATTATAGGTTCGATCACCTTGGTTTGGCAACAAGTTTTTTTTACATTGTGTTAGTTGTTATAAAGAAGACAGTGTTGATCATCTCTTGGCTTGTTCCCCTCTCTGTTCTTACAACATCTACATGATGATATGAGGCAGTGGATTTTCCTACCCTGCCATTACAAGGTACCTTTTTACTATAATTTTTATTATATCTATTTTAATCTTTATAATAATTGACAATGACAATCATCATAGGCATGACAACCTGGTAAGACATGCAGGAAGTCAATAGGTGCAGGTGGAAGTCAATGGATGCAGGTGGCTCAGGACCATGCTTTGTGGCATTCCTTGGTGGAGGTCCATGTTCAGCAGGGGACTTGTGAAGGGCTGTAATGATGATTATTAGTGTATTATATAGGCATTACAATTGATTATATATCTTTGAGACAGATGCACTCTAGAGTTAAAATTTGAGTAATTCTTTTTCATAACAAATACACTAAACCATTTATGTATAGAAAGTCAACTACAATGACAGTAATATTTTATGATATGGCATGTGACAAACAACAGGTTTGTATTTCTTTTTGTCAGTCATCTTAATATCACTGTGAGACATGTGGCTCTCCAAGAATGCAACATACCCCCAGAAATGACAGTAATCATCTCAAATGTGTTGATGTAGTAGTCACTTAACTACTCTCATAGAAGAATAAGGCAATAATTGCTAGTTTATTTGACTTGTATGGAGTGAGCGGTAGTCACCATCAGGTGAGCCACATGATCGTTTGCCCCCTCTTATATAAAAAAACTAGGCTGCAGGCACAGTATCTGAGCAACCAGGCTTTGCTTTGAGGTAAACAAAAATCATCTATTTTCCAGTAATTACACCTATACAGATAAACATAGAAAGTAAAACTTTATCCGACTCTCACAAAGTTTAGTGTTAATACAAATTAGTGTTATTGGTCTCAAAATTTAAGTTTTCTTATTTCCTTTTGCTGTATTAAACTTGTAATTACTGTTACTTATTGACTTACACTAAAATACAATTTTATGACAAGAGTAAATTATTCCAATCATGTTACTCATCATAACTAGTTAAACAATTAAAGAAAATAAAAATTAAACAATATCCAAAATTATTGGGATTGCAATCCCAGACTTGCTAAGAAAACAAAATACAAGTTAATTGCTTAACTGAAACTGAAGCTTTTAGTTGGACCTATTTTTCCTTTTTAAGTGAGAACCGATTAAATTTGTACAGGTGCTTATTAAATGGACCATTGCTAAAATTAAAATATATACAATTCAAAGTAAAACTATCTAAATAATATAAAATTTAAAAAAACTAAAAAATCATGCATTGATCATGAGCTGTGATGATTATACAGATAATTATCCCGGTGATCCTAATCAGAATACTAGGATAAAGTTATTAATTAAATTATTTGTATTATCAGATTTTCAAGTCAATAGGCTGTCTACGAGTTGGCAAAATTACTTTAAGATTCCATTACATAGATAAATACACGTGAAGCTAGTATAAGCGTTATAAAATAATTTTAATATTCTATCTCTCTATTTTTATTATTTCCTTCATTACTGGCCCAGTCATAAAAAAAACTCAACAGGTAAATTCCCGTGTTTCCTGGCTTTTATTTTCAATCCTAATTTTCAAAAACTAGTTTAAAACTATTTACAACAGGCTTCTTTAGTTGTGATAAATGCGGTGATATCACATGTAATACCGACCAAAATTGTTGTTAAATTAATGACAATTTAAAAGATTTTTCAAATGTGTTTAATAAATATAACTTTACCGTTGATAAAATATCTAAAAATCTTCTAGGTTCTAGCGAAACTTACCAGAATCGCTCTCGGTTATAAACGAGGCTTCTCTTTTCTTGTCACTGAAGATGGTTTTATAAATAAAGTGTATTACTACACAAAGTAAAATTGTAATTCCACCAAGAAGGAATACATTCATGCTTAGACCGGCTTGAAAATCTCCCATTTTCACTAAAAAAATCATAAATTTAAAATGCCGATTGCCGATACAAAAGTAGTATTTACAACAGTCACGCGGCTTCAAAAAAATAACTGAGCTAAGTACGAAGTGGTACGACGAAGCGGCTACTGGCGGCTACACTCGGACTCGGACCACAGATTATGAAATATGTATAGTGTTGCCAATTTAGCATATTATATGCTAAATTTGACATATTTTCTTCTTGTTTAGCATATTTTTTTTGCTTTTAGCATATAGCATATTATTTCAGCATATTCTTATAAAACATGAAAAGAATGTAAATTACAATCTTTCTTGAAATAAAATTTGATATCGATACCTACCTCAATCAATTTCCCACTTCACTACTAGTGATTCACTAGCATGGCAACCCTTTTTTGAAGCGAATATAATATTCTCTGTGCTACGGGATTCCCCTTAGACATAGAGAATGGACTGAGCCCTTATTCAGGTATAAAGTAAATATGGACGAAGTACAAGAGAGACAAAGCGAATGTGCCGCCAGTTATTGTCTCTTTCTACGCCTTACCTGCGCCTTGCAGAAAATACACATGTATTGGCCGCGTATTCACTTTGTCTCTTTCTAGAGAGTGGTCAGTTTTGTGAGGGTGATGTCTATGGGATAGAATTCCCTTACTATTATCCATTCCCCAGCGCCTACGTCGCTTTCTGTCAAAAACATTGTTTATTGTTGTGGATGTGGACTCACTCATATCGTCGTCTCGTCTTATCCGTGTTTTCGTGTTCCTTTTTTATAATTTGATATTTTTATTATGGTGCCTAAGTATAGTCAACATTACCGGGCAGACTGGGAGAAAATGGCAGACTTTAAAGAGTGGTTGCAGCCCGTTGAAAACGATACTTCGAAAGCGTACTGTAAGTATTGTAAATGCGAAATGATTGCAAAATTGTCTGTTTTGAGGCTACATATTTCATCAGCAAAGCACAGAAAAGCAATAGAGCCAATGAAGAGTCAAAAAAAAATTAACTTCCCTAAAGTAAAAAAAAGATCTGAATACCCAGAAAGCAGAATCTTCGCTGGCTTTGTTTGTTTGCGAGCACTGTGCAATTATGGCTGTAGATCATTTATCGGAACTATGCAAATACCGATTTGTCGACAGCAAATACAGCGACATCAAGTTACATCGAACCAAATGCACGAATATTATTAAAAATGTTTTGGCACCACACTTCATTCAAGAAATTGTGACAGATTTAGGAGATCAGGAGTACAGTCTCTTAATCGATGAATCGACAGATATATTGGTACTTAAAATGCTTGGTGTTTCGATAAGATATTTCAGCCGATCATTAAAAAAGATAATTTCCACATTCTTGGGATTAGTTGAGATTGAAGACGGAACTGCAGTCAGCATAGTGAACGGCATTAAAGGATTGTTGGCAGAAATAAAAATAAATTTAAAGAAATTGATCGGTATCGGCACGGATAACGCTTCGGTCATGACAGGAACTAACAGTGGAGTGCACGCATTGTTGAAAAATGCAACTGGTAATGACAATTTAGTGTTAGTCCGCTGCGTGTGTCATTCGTTACAGTTGGCTATGTCTCATGCTTCAGCAGAAACCCTACCAAGAAATGTTGAATTTCTTATAAGAGAAACCTATAACTGGTTTAGCCATTCATCAAACCGAAGACTCTTTTACAAAAACATGTTTCAAACGATCAACGGTGGCTCCGTTCCATTGACAATTCCACAGATGTGCAATACCCGATGGATATCAATTGAACCAGCGGTCTGCCGTATTCTTGATCAATGGATAGAATTAAAAACCCTGTTTGAAATTGCCAGGCGAGATGAACACTGCTATACGGCAGAAATACTATATAACATGTATAATGATCCACAGAATCATTTGTACTTATTATACATAAGACCTATCTTACAGGAAGTTCAAGTGGTAAACAAGTTGTTTGAAAGTAACGATGTTGACCCAACAAGATTGTACAATGATTTGATTGGCTTAGTGGAATCGATAGGTCGGCGTATTCTGAACCCAACGGCAAGGGTAGATATTTTAACAGAAGACATAGAAAGCTATTTAGATCCGAAACCATACATGGGATTGCTTTTGAGACCAAATTACTTGAATACAATCTTCAGCCTAATGCAGCAAACTATTTACGCCAACGTTGTAATAATTTCACACTGAAACTTGTGACAGAACTACGTTCGAGATTACCGGTTAATTTTAAAATACTTCAGAAGATATCCATGTTTTCAGTTCAAGAGACTTTAAAAGTAGTTAAGCCATCCATTGTCGAAATAGCCCAAGAGTTCCGAGTTAATGCACCTATGATTGAAAAACTGGTATCTCAATGGAGAAATATAGTTCACATTAAATGGGAATCCTTGACTTCCACAGTAAAGTTCTGGAATGAAGTCATGCAATATAAAGATGCAGCTGATAATAACCCCTTTGCAGAGTTATGTGAGTTTGCAATGTCTCTTATATCATTGCCACATTCAAATGCGGACGTTGAACGTGTATTCAGCCAAATGAGTCTGGTAAAAACAAAACTCCGAAACCGTTTGGCGGTGAGAACCCTGAATGCCATTTTGTACGTTAGGTTCGGCCTAAAAAGAGCAGGAAAGTGCTGTTACTCTTACACTGTTCCAGACAATGTACTACGCAGTATCGGAACCAAAGAGTATTACGACTCCGGCTCTCAGCCTTCCACATCAGCTGATGTTGATGAAGATGAAGACCTTAATATTCTATTCCCTTGATTTAATTTCTCAATAAATACTGATACTTCTTAATTATGTTGGCATTTTTTTTGGCATTTTTTAGAGAAGGTAAGCATATTTTTGGCATATTTTTTACACCAGTCTAGCATATTTTGAAGTAGTTGAGTTGGCAACGCTAAATATGTAGCAATAGGAAACTATAGTGCGCGCAAGATAACACTGCGCGCGACTGATGACGTACTTAATGTTGCCATCTTAAATAATATTGTTTCCTTCATTTAATCTTATTACTAGAGTTATATTATATGAAATGAAATAAATAACCGAATTGATTGACCAAAGCTCAGTTGAAAACTGGTAAGTTAGACATAATATATTTATATGGTAAGACATACGTTAATATAAGTTATTATTAACTGGTTGCGCGGAAAAAACGGGTACACTCACGTCTGTCACCCAGAGGGGTAGGCAGAGACTACAGACTTCTATTTAGCACGATCCTGACACACCTCTCGCGCCTCCTTCACATTCATATACCTACGCATACATGCTCGTCGGTTAAGGGTACTCCTAATTTGGCCCGTTTTCAATATTTCGCCAATTTGGTCGATAAACTTCCACCTAGTACGTCTCTTTCCGACTCTGCCGTTCACTTCTGCAACATAAATTTGCTTTGTCACTATTTCCTCATTCATTCTTTCTACATGACCAAACCACCGAAGCAATCCTTTCTTAATCCTGGTCACAACATCATCTTGCTAACCACACTCCTCTCTTATCACACAATTTCTTACCCTGTCATTCAGATTCAGCCCTAACATACTCCTTAACGACCACATTTCTACTGCGTTCATTCTACTCTCCTGCTTCTTCTGCCACACCCAACTTTCACTACCATACGTTAAAGTAGGGACTAACACAGCATCGTGAATTGCCATACGTGCCTTTTTCGACACATTTTGACTCTTCACAATAGAGTTTAGGGCCCCATTTACTCTATTTCCTGAATTCACTCGTCGTTCTATATCCTTATCACATCTCCCATCCCTGCTAAATACGCTCCTCTTCTATTCTTATTTTACATATCGTCTTACTTTCTTCTCTTTCAAAAACCATAACTTTCGTCTTACTTGCGTTCACTTTCATACCCCTTTCTTTTAATGATCTGTTCATTAATGTAACCATCATATACAGCTCGGCCGCCGACGATGCAAGAATAACTTGATCATCGGCGTACAAAAGGCATTTGATGGTTATTTTGTTTAGTTGATTAGTAATCTAGCCAGTGCCTTCCTCCGTCCTACCTACATTCCTTCCCGCATGCACTGAAAGGGGGGGAGGGAGGAAGCTAAATTATGTGGCGTGATTTTTGTCACCAAGGAAGAAGCGCCCGCCCCACCTAAACAGGAGATGAGATGGTTGGCGAATAAAAGGAAGCCCACTGCCGCCGCTTGCTCTCTTGCATCGCAGTTAAAGACCAACGCTAGATGTGATTGCACCTCTGTGGCAGTCGCGTCACAGAACAACCTAGTAGTAATCGCTTCGCATAGTGGGAGTTATCATCGCGCACCACCGCAGCTGGAACGTAGCACCATCATCCTCAGGCCTGAGTAAAGGGCCGCTAGAAGATCAACACCCAAGTAAGTGCCTTTTCCTTCTCTTCTAGCATGAGCTGTTCTCATTTGTGCCTTTTTCCTACACCAGCTCACGCTCCTACCTTTACCAGCTGATATAGTGAATTAGGTCCTAGCAAGTGTATTACCCAAAACCCCGGCCACGTGCCACTTCCGTAGTCTTGCATTGATTATGGAGAACCACGCATACAGTCTATATATAGTAAAATCTCGCATAATAGATAATTCCTCGACCCCGGATTCGAACCCAGGAACCATTAGCGCTACCATTTTCTGGTTCATACAGGCCGGATAAAATCGTGACAATTGGCCCGATTTTTCGATTGCTGGTCCAGTAGAGTGGGATTTGGAACTGGCGTCCTGTAGCCTGATCGAGTCGAACCGCTGAACCAATTCCGTGGACAATGTACTCTAGTCTGTTAACGTTAGATAGATTTAGACGGTACGCCGTATTGTTCAATTTGAAATTGCAAATAGTTGAAATCTCTTTGTAGCTACACTCGCATATATTATAGGTTGATAAATGGACGCTTCTTTTATTTAGTTTGACCCGCTGTAGTTTTCTGTTTATCTAATTCCGCAATTCGTAATATTTATACGAATTTATATAGTGCATTCTTGCATAAGTGCTTGTTTGATTTGGTTAGTGTACGCTACAGATAACGCATTCTCAATTCTTTGAAAGTCTTATAATATGGATTACTTATATACAATATACATTAACTCGTTTACTTGTTACTATGGGAGAGTTCCACACTTACCGACATCGCGCGTGATAAATTGTCTCATCTCCTTGCAGACTACATCCGCTTAGTAAAATAATCGTGTCTAAGTGTTTGATTTAATATCGTTTAGTGGAAGAGCGATACGTCGCTAGTAAATATCGCATGATTTGACAGTTTACCTTTCGTACATTATGAAACTGTCGTTTTCCATCGCCTCGCGATCGTTTTGTGTTAGTTTAAAATTAATTATTGTATTACAAGATGGCAGTGAGTGCAAATGAAATGAAACTTAAAACTCTTTACGTCAAAAGGGACGTGCTACTTTCTCGTAAACAATACATCAGTGATTATAATATAAGAATATTAACCTAGAGTCATTGCGGGAGACATTTTATGTGAAATCGAAACGGTGGACATGTGTCATTGACGTTCTATTGCGAAAGGGTTTTGGACAAAATTAATAATCTCAAACTACAAATTGACCCCAAGTATATAGTAAATTATCAATCACTTATGGAATTTGAGGGTCTGTTGTGTCCCGTAAAACGAACGGCCAAACGGCTACAACCTGCAGCCCAGAGCGACGTAATGCCAGAAATTCAGGTACATCCACGTGAATCACTTAGATTGCCCCCTATCGATATCCCGATATTTAATAATGATATTAAAACTTGGCCGTTATTTATTACTAACTTACAAAACGCTATCCATAACAATCCCTCTTTATAGGACGCGTTAAAAAATTATATTATTTAATTGCAAGCTAAGTTTCAAACCAACAGCAAATAATTATTCGTTAATCTTCAAAACGCTTAAAAATAAATATGAAGATAAGCGAATACAAACCTCTTCATATGTGGATCAAATATTCGATTTTCCGCGAACATCAGTAGTCATGAACAATATTTGAATAAATTCGTAACATCAGTGGCTGCTTTCAAAAACCTTGATGATTTGATGACCTTATGGACTTTGTGCTTTTACATATTGCGTTAAAAAAAGCTAGACCCGGACACCGTGCGTTCGTTTGAAATGGAGAATCGTGGCTACGAATTACTATCGTTTGTTTTGTTTGTTTGTTCATCAAGTGGGAAGCGAAGAAATGCGCCGACCATCGACCGGTCTCTTCGTCGAAGCTGGCAAAGTCCCTGACGTATGTAAACACCTCGCCTCCATTGCCTCATAACGCCTACATTTTATGTAAAAATAACCAACACGGTAATTTGTACTTGCGCGACTTTCCGTAAGCATTCACGGAGCGAACGTTATAAAATAGCAAAGGCTTACAACTTATGTTTGAATTGTTTAAGTAACAGGCACCGCGTTGTTAATTATAACTCAAGTTCAGTATGTAACAAATGCCACAACAGACACCATACATTATTGCGTTTTGAGAGTGGTACTATATCCGCGTTAAGCAATTTTGAGAGTGAGACTCCACCCACCAAGGTCGACACTTCTAGCAGACGATCGGGCGAAATTGCCCTGTATTCACTGTCGAACGTGGGAGGGACAAACCACGTCCCTTCCACTGTGTTGTTGGGGGCAGCGCGTATTATAGTTAGAGATTCGCATAAATTCATTAGAAGTAGATAAGGTCACTGAGCGCCTGCCAACCGTTTCGGTCGACGCTTCCGCAATGACAAATTTCAATAATTTACCTTTGGCGGACGACACTTACTCCCTGGAGTCCCTGGAGACATTGATATGCTCATCAGGCCGTCTATCTATATATTCTATCACCTTTTGCTACACAATAAGGTCAGGAGGAAATCCTCGTGTACCGCATCTTACGCATTAGAAACCGTTTTAGGTTACGTTATTGGTGATTCCGTTCCAACGGTTCATAATGTTTCGGCCACCTCTTATTGTTGCACCGCCGCTGTTGAACCCCCCGAAATATTGGCTCCCAATTTTCGGGAAAAGGAGGACGGAAACGTCCCGCCTATACTTATCTCTAATAATAGATTATGCGTGGAGTTGAAAAGCAAGACGTTGAGAGTCTATTAGTACGGGAATAGGTAGTGAACCTGTAGTAATTTCATCGCATCCGAAGGGAATGCCGAATAGGGATAGCCCTAGAGCTAGGTGTATAGACATCGTGAAGAAGGCCCAAACTTACAAAATTAGATTAACCCGTGACCCGTCAGGTGACATATTCGGTGCACGTGTTCCGCGACCCGGGACTTGAATCGATGTCGGCAGTGGAGGCGCGAGCGGCGCAGAGCAAGGTCGCGACCTCGGCTCATAGAGAAGCCTAGCCGCTGCAGTAGAAAGCGTGCCGCCTTGGAGGTGACGGAATGGACCTGCTTTTCTGAGGCCAACCTTGTTTGGCGGAGTGAGATAAAGTATTTGCGAGAGAGGGAGATCAAGCTGCTAGCAGACCTATCCGCTTTATCGAAAGAAGTGAGGCTTCACGAGAAACAGGCCACCAGCACTGTTATTCCAAAACGTTCGTTACATTACTTCACTGCTTATAATTATTAAGTTTCGATTCGCTCTAGACATTGCATACTTGGATTTTAGGATCGTGTGTGGTTTAGATTCGGTTTATCTATAGTAAAATTATTAATTAATATTTTGCTTATTAGAGTTTCGTATAAAATGCATAGGTTAGTAACGTCACAGCAGTACTCTGACGCTGACGATATTTAAATCATTTTTTGTCGTTAATATAAAGCCTTTGTAGTTTTGGAAGCGATTATGCAATATTTATTTCTGTTTGTAGTATCAATTAGTTTATAATGCGTAGTGTAATTTACGTTTATTGATTTGTAAAGCTTTTACCGCGACGTCCTTATATCGTTGGGTACGATTATAGTTCATTATCATCACCATCATTACAGCCCTTCACAAGTCCAGTACTTAACAAAGGCCTCCCCCAAGTAATGCCACAAAGCACGGTCCTGAGCCACCTGCATCGATCGACTTCCTGCATGTCTTACCAGGTCGTCACTCCATCTAGTGGGGGTCGCCCCTTTTTTTTAATATGGGGAAATGCCCACGTATACGCCTCGCGGGCGCAAGGACGGGTTATGCCGGACTCGCACCGACTAAAACCCCATGGTGTTCCACCTTCGTCGCATATTGGCAGAGCCACGGAAACGTTTTCGCAGACATCCGCGGCCCCACCAGCGCCGCCCGCCTCATGGTGAGAGGAATAGTCCTCCTCGGGAGAGGACTATTCCTCCCCGTTCTCCTTCCCAGGTAAGGTGCACCAAAATACATGGCGCACCTTCCTCCAAGGCCTCCAACTAAACCCGTGCAACGGATGCCCCCATGTCAGAAGCTCGAAGGCTATGGAGGCAGGAAAACCGAGTACTCAGAAGCACTAACCTCCCCGACCCTAACGGTGAATCTGGTCTATGGCTCCGCCGCCAACCACGATTCGGTTGCGGAGGGTAGAGAGAGCGACGCTTCGCAATACCGACACTCCTCTCCCTCCACAGCCCCACCACCACCGCATCAACGGTGTGGACGCGTTTGAGTCGCGGAGGATAGGGCGAGTGGCGCATCGCCATACCAAAACTCCTCTTCCTCCGCGACTCCACCTCGGCTGCAGCGGTAGGGAGAGAAGACACCTCTCTCGCCGCAGCCTACCAGCACACATCCGAAGTAGGCTCGCCAAGCCCAATCGGAGTGGTCTCCTCGGGCTGGCCCTTCACCTCGGGTAAGCCATGTGAGTTCCTCTTTGTTCACCGCGGGTGACCAAGACACTGCAACTAAGCCTCCCCGCCACGATAAGGCGGGAACCCATTCGGGGGGCCACTCCCCCCCCCCCCGAACGGGTTAATTGAAAATTTTCTCTTTTCTTTTGATAGGAAAATATTTGAAAAGGATTATATGAGGCATATAGAATCAAAGGCAGCTAAGCGACAAACTTTCAAAAAAAATAACTAAGTATGGAGCCATCTTGTGAATTTTTGGTTGTAACTCTTTATTTTATTATTGTAAGAAACAAATACAGCTAAAGCCCTTTAAATTTCGTTCAAAAAATGATTTTGGGATCAAATACAGCTAAGTAATCTTAGGTCGCAATCAAAGGCAGCTAGGTGATAAAACAACCAATCACAACGCTTGAATTCTCGAAAACAAAATGGCGATTTCTATACAACCGCGTTAGCCACACCTAATATTTTTTATTGTATTTTTAGTGCTTTTAGTGAGTTCTCGTGCAAAATTTGTTGTGAAACTACTATTATGGAGGTCCCTGTAGAACCGGCAAGTGCTGGCAGAGGTCGAAAACACACACGAAACCAAGAAAACTGGAAGGCAAACATTGCTAAGAGAGAAAGGTTAGTGATGTGCCTTGCGTCTACACTCCACATAATGTATAGATCCAGTACAGGATTTTAAACAGTCAGAATAAATTTGTGATTGCCTGCCAAACATTTTTTTTTGAGTTCATTGCAAATAAAAAAGTGTAGAGTGGAATTTGTTATGAAGGCGTTTTACTATACGCAACAAATTGCTAAAGAAAACAGGGGAGGAAATCATAAAATAAACAAGTATAAGGAGCAAAAAGATATAGTACGGCAATTTATTATTAAGTTAAAATGCATAGAATCACATTACTGTCGATCTGCATCACAAGAGCGAAAATATCTGCACAGCGATTTGAGTATAAACAAACTTTATAAGATGTTCAAAACCGAAAATGCTCAGTCTCATGTAAAGAAGTCTTATTTTCGTGCAATATTCAACCAAGATTTCAATTTAGGATTCGGTAATCCGAGAACAGACGTTTGCTCGAAATGCATTGAATTGAATGGGAAAATTAAAATGGAAAACGACCAAGAAAAACAGAAAGACCTCATGATCGAAAAAAGAGTCCACAAGCTCAGGGCAAAAGCATTCTTTCAACTGCTTCAGGAAAAATCAGACGATATGATCACTTTCTCATTCGACTGTCAAAAAAATAATCCCCTACCCAAAGTACCTGACCAAAGCACATACTACAGTCGCCAAATATATCTCTACAATTTTACGATTGTTCAGGGTTCTTCTAAAGATCACCTGAATAAAGACACAACTTATGCATATTTGTGGACAGAGAACGAATTTTCAAAAACATCCAACCAGATAGCCTCTGCAGTGTACGACCGTTTAAATAAAACTAATTTTGAAGGGATTAACACTGTTCGTCTTATAGCTGATGGATGTGGCGGGCAGAACAAGAATAGCATATTGCTAAAAGTCGTTTTAAAAGACCGAATTTTCGGAAACATTGAAAAAGTTCTTAAAAAACAAGAAGTAATCATTTGACCTGAAGATTACATAGACATCATTGCAACAAATGCAAACATTACAAAAATGCGTGACATTCAAATGTTAGACTTCAGGAGTGCCGCAAAAAATGTCCTAAAACCGACTGCGAGATGGCCTTTTAAAAAAAGTGAATACAAAAGATTCATTTTGAAGAGATCCAAAATTGTTGGAAATGTGCTTATTCGTGGAGAACTGCATTTTAATTCAGATATAGGTAAAGCAGTAAATCTTTGCAAAACAGGAATGAAAAACAATATGATTCTCCCATCCACCGTGCCACTAGAAGCACCCATGAATCATGCAAAAATAACTGATGTCGATGCACTATTAAAAAAGCATTTTGGCGCTGAATGGAAAACCAATGCAGAATGTCAGTTTTATGTAAATATTATAAGATCGCCAGTTATTCAAGAGGGAGATTCAGAAAGAGGGGAAGATGATAATGAAAACTATTGTGAATGTAGGGATGATACGGTGGATTTAAGAATTTAAATTTTGTTTTTGTTGAAAAAGAAGAAACAGCTGATTTAGTAATAAGAAAACATTTAAGTTCATAAGAACAGAATATTGTTTCTGAGAGTAAAGAAAAGTCTGATTAAAAAGAGAAAAAGTGTTATTTTTTGTTACGATGTTGATTATTGGATTTAAGAATTTAACTTTTGTTTTTATTGAAAAAGAAGAAACAGCTGATTAAAAGTAATAAGTAATAAGAATAATTTAGTAATAAGAAAAATTTAGATTCATAAGAATAAAATATTGCTCCTAAAGGAAAAGAAAAGTCTGATTAAAAAATTTAAATATCTACATGAAAACGTGTTTTAATTACTGGTCCATGCTATCGACATCTGTTGGGAACATCACTAACATTGTGATGTCAATATGGCACCAGTCATTATCAAAGACAGCTAGGTTCACTTGAGTAAAAATCAAACACAGCTAAGTGTAGCTCTTGGTATCAAAGATAGCTAAGTCGTTTGATTTTTTTTTTCGGCTTATTATTTAGTACTCCCAGATAAAAGTAGCCAAAACCAATATTAAATCACATACTCTAAAATCAAAATTGAGATAGTATTATATAAAACCCCTGACTCATAAATTAGAAAAAAGTTTATTTCGGTTCCTGAAAATCTGACATAGTGGCACTTAGCTACTTTTGATTCTATATGCCTCTTATACACAAATAGATATATTAATTTTAAAATAACATTTATAAGTAGCGACCTGCTCTGACTTCCCCAGCAGCAGGGCTAGCATGGGCAGGAGACAAATATTTTATCCCCCCGATTATATCTACTGACAAGAGATAAAATTATCTTATCCCTATGCCAGAACTCGGGATGATTGGTGTTGCAGAAACCTCGATGATGAGATCAATATTGGTATCGATAGCTTAACAACGATAATCAATGCTTACCCTACCCAAAACATCGATGTTGGCCATTATCGATGTTATTGCATTGCAGTGTGAATATTGTTAGATGAATAAAAACTTGGTAGTGTTATTTATGGTTTATTATTAAGTAAATAAAAGAAATTAATTGAAAATTTAGGGTGAAACAGTAATTAAAAAATGGGAAAAAGTTAACAAAAAGTTACATCTAGTTCGTTTGTTATATTTTTGCCGATGATAATAAAAGTTATTATTTTGATCTTTAAATGTTCCTATACACTTATAAATCTGGTATGAAAAATTTATAATGGGACGTAATTTACGATTTAGACGTAGGTTTTATATCAACTACTGCCGCGAAATAAAAAATATGATTATAGAGAAAAAAATAACAAACTTCACAAATCAAATAATAGACTCTTCCATCACCTTTGTTCACAATGTTTAATCAGGCAGCCCCAGTAGTAAGTATCCACAGCCGTTTATAAAAAGCAGTCGAATATACTATACAGTGAAATTGTCTATGCTCACGATCGCCCACTGATTTATTTTTATAAACTTCAAGCAAACTATAAACTCGTTACCCTAAGCTCAGCTCAGCTCAGTGAAAATACATATTGTTTCAAAATTATGTATTTATAGACAGCAAAGGAAAAAGCAATTAATTTTAATATCAATTTGTGTAGAATATTTATTAGGTGAAAACTGAACTCACAGAAAAACAAAGTGAAAGCTGTGACATTACAGTTCACTCTTGACAGTGAGTTTGACACACCATAATTATATTTTTTTAGGTGATCGACGCGTTTAGGAATCCTGAATTATTCAAAACTATAAACCTATGAGAAAGCCTTTGATTCCGTCGAAATTTGGGCGGTGCTACAGTCTCTTCAGCGGTGCCTAGTTGACTATCGGTATATTCAAGTGCTGAAGTGTTTGTACAGTAGGGCTACGATGGCTATCCGAGTACAGAACCAGAGTACGAAACCTATCCAACTGCAGAGAGGTGTAAGACAGGGTGATGTTATATCCCCGAAACTCTTCACCGCGTTGGAAGACGTTTTCAAGCTACTGGACTGGAAAGGATACGGTATTAACATCAATGGCGAGTACATCACTCACCTTCGATTTGCCGACGATATAGTCCTTATGGCAGAATCGCTGGAGGACCTTAGCACTATGCTCAATGACCTCAATGGTGTCTCCCAACGGATAGGTCTTAAGATGAACATGGACAAAACAAAGATCATGTTTAATGTCCATGTCACACCTATACCGGTAGTTGTTGGGAGCACTATGCTCGAAGTTGTTGACGAGTACGTTTACCTGGGACAAATAGTCCGACTAGGTAAGTCCAACTTCGACCGAGAGGTCAATCGACGGATTCAACTCGGCTGGGCAGCGTTCGGGAAATTACGACACATCTTCTCGTCAGGTATACCTCAATCTCTGAAAACTAAAGTGTATAACCAGTGCGTGTTGCCAATGATGACTTACGGATCTGAGACGTGGTCCTTCACCGCTGGCCGTATGAGGACGCTCAAGGTCGCTCAGCGAGCTATGGAGAGGGCTATGCTCGGAGTTTCACTGCGTGATAGACTCAGAAATGAGGATATCCGCAGTAAAACCAGAGTGACCGACATAGCCCAACGGATTAGTAAGCTGAAGTGGCAATGGGCCGGCCATATAGCTCGAAGAACCGATAACCGATGGGGAAGAAAGGTTCTCGAGTGGCAGCCTCGTACCGGTAGGCGTAGTGTAGGGCGACCCCCCACTAGATGAAGTGACGACCTGGTAAGACATGCAGGAAGTCGATGGATGCAGGTGGCTCAGGACCGTGCTTTGTGGCATTACTTGAGGGAGGCCTATGTTCAGCAGTGGACTTGTGATGGGCTGTAATAATGATGATGATGATGATAAACCTTTAATACGAGATCAAATATAAAGTTGACATTGATTTCGCGGGTTCGCATTGTTTACAAGTTCTTATTAATCGATTATTGGTTCATTGACATCTATGTTCCGATGTTTGACTTGTGGCAACATCGATGTTAAAACATCGATGTTTTAATTTTTAACATCAAACTTCCCTAGTTCCCTAGCCAGAACACGGCAACAGGGTAAAGGAGAAGTATGTCCCCGTTTCATACAACAAAACATATGTTATATGACTCGGTATATGCGTAGCATCCTCTTAGTAGTCTGCGACAAATATTCCCCGTCCGTAGCATGGGGTGGCAATATTAAAAAAAGGAATTTTTTTTGTCTTTCGTTTGAAAGACAAAAAAAATTCCTTTTTTAACATTCGAAAGCGTAGACAGAGAATACTATAGACACCGGAAAGGCGTGTCGCATAAAGGGACAAAAAAAAATACGTCACTATATTTATGGTTACAAGTGTGATGAAAAATTTACCCCACAACTAGTCATAGCCTAAAAATGCTATTACCGTTTATCATCGATAGGTATAGGCATGCGATATGGAGGAGAAGACATGCTGTCAAACTCATTCAAATTAATTGCGATGAGGGCAGGAGGGTAAGGATGGATGATGATGATGTTGATCTAAATAACTGACATTTCTTATGTTCTGGCTTCGTGAGTAAATAATACAACACGTTTGATAATAGTAAGATTTTATTGATTATTGTCCTTTAAACAAACATGTTTCGTATGAAGGTTTCCAATTTTTTGCTTGGGTTCAAATGCTAATGCAACTAAGCCGGTAATTGTACTAAATAGGTAGTTGTTAAACACTAAACATATAAAAACATCTTTCAAAACTTGGATCGTAACTTAATATGTTATTAATTGAATATTTACCAGAATAGGTACAGCATTATGTAAAACCATAGCTTGAAACAATTGTAAACTAATTTTATAAGATTTAGTTTAACTAACATTTTTTTCTTTTTTATTCAATTTTTTTTCGCACTTTTAATATTTTTGTTTTTTGATTCTCCCCCTCGTTGCCATTAAGAAGTATCGCAGTATCTGCATTTATCTGCCTTAAAATTAAAAATGTCGCCGAAATAAATCCGAAAATTAAATGTGGTGCAATGTATATCATCAAACAAAAAAGGAGAAAAAAGGTTCTGACGTAGCTTGGGCTATCGATTTGTTTCCCGCATTTCCCCGTATAATAACAATCTCTGAAAAATCCTAAATCGACTTTAAATTCTCCGCAATTTGGGGCTGTTGGCAATGCTGAACATGTGTAAATTGCACAGCGCAAGGCGACAAGAGTAATAGACGTGAGTACAGTGAGCTGAGTGTAGTACAGTAATACATAATGCATTGTTTTGTACCGAGCTAGATAAAAAAGTTCAGCGTCTGCGCAAATATTGACCATATAGTCAGCTGGTTTTATTTTAAGTTTCACTGCTGGTTCTATGTGATAAATTTCATGATATGTAAAAAATGTAAATTATCAATGTTTACCTGTTACACCCTATTTTTTCAGACAGTAAAAAAACATTCAGTATACTTACGTGAAAAAGTGTGAGTAAAAATGCGTTAAATTAGTGTGGCTCTACTACCAACAGCAGAGTAAATTAATTATTTTAATTTTGTTTTTAAATTAATTAATTCATTAAATTAATATATCACTTCTTATAATTATGTGGTCATAGTTAACAAGGGCTACCTCCAGATTGAAATAATTTTTTTTTCAATCTACGCAGTGTGAACTTATAGTATCTTGAAGCCTTGCAGTTATATGCTTGGATTGGAATTGAGATTCCAAGCAGATAGTAGCACCCAGCCATCTTCTCTATTGAAGATAGGATGTTTTTATTTCAATATCCTCGCGAATCATCCTTGGAAGTAGGTGTTCTTTAGCGAGGATTTGTTGTCTATCAAATCTGATGTAGTGGCAGGGGTGATCATGTACGTGTTCACAGACCGCAGACCTTTTACAGTGAAAATAATGATATTTAAAAAAAAGTAAATAACATAAGCACTGCTTTATAGTTAGTTCTGTTAGTATGCAAAGTTTCATGATCTTATTTAAAGTATTTTATGAATAACAGCGGTTTATTGTTCAGTTTGGAGGTAACTTTGGATTTGTTTTCTATAGAGAAAATTTTACGGAATCATGTTTTCATCTAACATAGTCCTTAACATTAATCCTCAACTTTACCGTATATTTATTTCAAAATTAATGCTGCAATACTTTCGGCATAACGGAGGATCTTGCTAAGCCATTTGAGGTTATATTTCCCCTTAACCTATACAATTTCGGTGGTTTGGCACTTGTAGGTATTATCGTTTTTACGTCCAGATTTAATGTTTCGGAGTGTTTCTTTATGAGATCGCTATAATTATATATTTATAGTTGTTTTAAGTGTGTTATTTTGGGTCGTTTTTAACCTTTTTATAAGTGATTATATCCGACAAAAGTTCTTGTATTTTAGAATTATAATCGGATGTATCCTAATGATGACTACCACTGGCATTGCTATAATAAAATATATATATTTTTTATATTTCTTGTAATTTTTATTGGCATAAAAATATAGTCTTTTAAAAATATTACATTTTATGTATCAGAGTTGGTTCTAGTTGTATTAGTAGCAGAATAAATCATTAAAAACTTCTTTTGTTTATTACTGGTTGAATAATAATTATTTTTTTTTATTTTTGGTTTTGACATAGCATCAAATATGATTTGATCAAAGAGTTTAGCATTATGTTCTAGATTTGTTATACGCAATTTTTAGTTTGTAAAATGTAGAATTTATTTCTGTTTATTAAAATGTCACGAAACCAAAGCAGAGGCAGGTAAGTTATCAAAACTTATAAGGAAGAAATCTTACTATTCGCTATACTATTTAATAATACTATTTATGTCATTGACTTATAGCGTAATTTCTGTTTACACAATATCTACAATTTAGGAGTAGACATACCTACGTACCTGAGAACACAATGTGTGCTTATAAAAATAGTTTTTGTACTGATTTTGTATAGAATATATTGAATTAAAAATCCATGTTTAGGCTTGCTAGATACATACAGAATCCCGTTTCGGGATTCCGTTTCGGAATTCCGATTCGGGATTCTGAACGCAGCAATTCCATATAAAATCAATGACCCGTCACACACCTACGGAATTTTCCGTACGGAATTTTGCAGACAAAACGAGATTTCGTTTGTCTGTGGCCGACCCGTTCGTTCCGGAATTCCGTATGTAGTTTTTCGCGGGCCTTATATTTTACATAATGATCAAATGCAATCAAATCAATACCTGTAGATTCTGAACGTGTTTTAAAACTATTGATCGGTCTCTGTCGTAGACGTATATAAAACATATACGTATATGGTCTCTGCAAGCTAAACAAAAAAAAAATGGTCTCTTTAAGCTAAACTAAAACATGGAGGTTAGAGAACTAAATATACGTGACAAACAAGGATGGTTATAGTCTATAATTCAGGGTTACAAGCATGGGTCTTTTACCTTCAAAGATAGGGCGACAATATATTGATTGGGTTTATGTGGCCTTATTTAATCTAAGACTATATTTAGGACCACAAAATTAATGTCCATATCATCAATCACGTCACAAGTTTTTTACGTGGTAGAGCTACGCTGCATCTGTATTGTGTTTACAGCAAGAATAGGTCGGCTCAAACAGGAAAGGAGCTATCACAAAATAGTAGCGTGAAATTGCAGCAAAATGCTACTGTGGTTTGCATGATGAGCGTAGAAAACCTGTGATCCTATTTAATTATAACTTCATCTTAATATTTAAGGGTGACAATGTATATAAGCATTTTGTTGCTTAATACAGAATAGTTGTAGATGTCTATCGGATACAGCATCTACCTCACATTAGGTGGACTGTGTGGTCGTTCGACATTGTTGTACTATGAAAAAAAATCTGACCAAAAATATTAAAAATACAAGATACGGAATGTCGTTTGTTGACCTACTGCATGTACGCTTTTATAATGTTCCTTTCGTTAAAATTACTTGTTATCGACCTAAGCGATAAGTTGATTAAAAAAGTCATCGAGTATGTGTGTTTTAGATGCGAGCCAGTCTAGATCCTACTCTTTGTCATTAGTCATACTATTTGCACCTAGCCCGCTTGCTTACATATTGCTCGTTAAATATCTGTAACACAAAGAGTAAGAGTATGTTAATATTACACAGACATCATATAAATATTATTACGTTTTTGAAATATTTTGTCACAATACTTCAAATACACTTAAACATATCGTATTGGTAATGCAGTATAGACAAATTAGGATTAAACAACTCCCTCTGTAACAATGGATGTTGAGAATATAACTAAAAAGCTAAGTATTATTTTTTCATAGCGAATTATACAAGTACAATTAACACAATTAAACAACAAAGTACAATTACAATTACAGTAAAACACCTTAAATTTATATCAATATGAGTTTGCAGCAGGGCTTTTTTGGGACTGATTTTAGATTGATGTTAAGGGTATTTTTGAGAAGTTGGTAACCCTGCTTTAATGCAGTGGTACCAACTTAGGGTAATTTACCCTATATTTAGAGTAAAAGTAATCCAGCAGGGTAATTTCTGGGGTATGAATTTTCCTAGGGTATTTTTTGGGGTAACAGTCAATAACAGTAAAATAATTACTTTGAATGATATTGTTTTTGAACGCGCCCATTACAGATTCCGTGTCGTGAACGCACCGATTGCTTTTGTGTCTCTCTCTAGTCTCCCTTATTTATTGTGTTGCTTGCTCTTTCTTTTCGAGAGTGTGTGTTGTTGTGAAAAATGGCGTCGTCTAGTGCTGGCGTTACGCGTTCAGGTGTGAAAAAGTATGCACGAAAATACTGTAAAGAATGGGAGTATGATCCAAATTTAAGAGGTAAGTCCAGTTTTCTTAAAGCTATAATATGTATTAATCTAATTGAGCAATGAGACTGAGGTCAAGCATTATTGTAACTGTTTTTCTTTGATTGTATTGTACTTTGGCAGTTTGGCTGTTGAATGTCTTTGGTAATGTATAAGAGTTGCCTGTTGCAAAATTTACCCACATCTGTAGGTATATTTTACGGGTGGTGGTGGTGATGGATAAAGATAAATGCATATTTTGGTGATGATGAAGATGAATGGTGGTGGCGGTGCGGTGGTGTTAACGCTTTGCTTTTTTATTTTTAGATTGGATTTGTCCTGACCCCACTGGTGAAAACTATGCAAGGTGCAAATATTGTAAAGTCACATTAGTACCCCACAAGAAAGAACTTAACTATCACGCAAAGAGTAAAAAACACATAAAAGCTGTGTCATTAGATAAAGCGGCGAAGTCCTGTCAGCAATTGCCTTTTGTAAAAACAGTTTCGAAGAATAACAAAACTGCGGAATTAAAAATAGCTGCTTATATAGCTGAACATAGTGCTATTCAAAATGTAGATCATTTAGGTGAAATCCTGCCATGTCTTGATCTGAAATCAGAAGTTCTGGGGACGTTAAAAATACACAGAACTAAATGCAGCATGCTAATAAAAACGTTCTTGGTCCAGTAATGATGCAAGAAATTATATCAGATGTTGGTGATGCTGCATATTCACTTATTGTAGATGAAACTACGGACATATCAACAGATAAAATTCTGTGCATAATGATACGGTATTTTTTCAAAAATTAAGCAGGATATCATTACAACATTTTACAGATACATAAAAATATGTAAATTGGATGCAACAACCATCTATGAAACTATAAAAAATACTTTACTAGAGGACTCCTTACGTCTTGAAATGCTGGTAGGAATTGGGCTAGACGGTACTAATGTAATGATTGGTGAGCACCACTCTGATGAAAAGAGACTTACCGGATATTATCATCGTTAATTGTACCTGTCATTCGTTGCATTTATGTGCAGAGAAAGCTTCGGAAAGTATGCCCCGTCAACTGGAATTTTTGATTCGGGAATGCCACAATTGGTTCTCGTATAGTTCAAAACGCCTTGAAGCCTACAGGGACTTATACGAAATTATGAACGAAAGTCGAGCTCCTAAAAAAATACCAGGATTTTGCGGAACACGCTGGTTAGCACGTTCTCATGCTATACGTACGTTACTCGAGCAATGGGAGGAATTAAAGCTTCTTTTCATGATGGCTAAGACTGAAGACAAATGTTTCATGGCGGAAAAATTGTATGACATCATGAAATGCAGAGCTTACCATGCATATTTCACGTTCTTAGATGTTCATCTACGACAAGTTACTAAAGTAAATTGCCTTTTTCAAAGTGATAATGTCGATCCAGCGAAACTGTTAGAAGACTTGTTTTTGCTCTTCAAAAATATCCTGCAAATTATTGTCATACCTCGGAAGCTTGAAACTGTTACGGATGGAGAATATGCATCATTTGGTTTTCATTAGCATTTGATGCATGTATCAGCAATGCATTTTGGCTACACGGTTGAAGAGGCGCTATCGAAACTAGACAGACGTGACAAAGAAGACGTACGTGAGAGATGCAAAACCTTTCTTGTTATTTTGTGTTCCGAATTACAGAAAAGGTTGCCAAAACAGATCACATTCCCTATAGCCATGGTGAAGTTGTCTCCAGAAATAGCCACTTCTCAAGTGAAACCTACATTAGTTGACATATTACAAAATGTACAAAGGGCTGAAGTATATGGTTGTAAACAAGAGTTAGAAATGGAATGGAATAATTTGCAAAACAAATCTTGGAAAAATACGACGCGTTGTACTGATTTTTGGGCTGAGGTTCAGGGGGACACAGATGCGGGGGGTAAAAAAAATCCCCTAATGTCTCTAAATTAGCATTGTCTCTTTTATCGGCGCCTATATCTAATGCAGCCGTAGAAAGGGCCTTTTCTCTATACTCAGTCGTCAAAACAAAGCTTAGGAATAGGCTATCCCTACAATACAATACAATTTAAACTAAAATTAAATTAATAAACTATTTAAGCAAAAAAAAAATACAATTTAAACATATTTCACAAATCTTGTGTTAACTTCACTCCTTCAAAAACAATGTTGGACAAATTTAATAATAGCATGTATGACAAAAAAGATAGTGATGCAGAGGATACTTTTATTGTTATGTGCCAATAATATAATAATATGAATAAATAATGTAGTTGTTTTATTTGTAAAGAAGGAAAAGGCAAGGATATTTTTAGGGTATTTTTTTTTAAATAATACAGATTCTAGGGTAAATTGAGACCAAGCCTAGGGTAAAGTAAAACCTTGACCTGGCAACACTGCTTTAATGCCATATTCAAATTTCCAGAAAAATTCAGCAGCTGTCATTTCAATTCGACGCGATATTTCAATCGTGACATTTTCCACATTTTCAATATCAAAAACGAAGTGAACAGTGCGTTTTTAAGAGATATATTTTGTTTGTACTTAACTAATTATTGTTGCAAAATGCCGCGAAGAGGACGTTCAGCAAGTCCGCCACCCGCTCCACAACGACGGTAAGTAAGGCTAATAATGAAATATGCCCGTAATGACTAAATTATAATCGTAATTTAAAACATAACCTCTACAAATTCAATTTCAGAGCTGCACCACCAACAAAGAATGTGCCTGCTCATGCTCCCCCAACAAGTCCAGGCCCCGTACACGCTCAACCTCAACAGCCATCGCTATTCGGGCAGATGGCTGCGACTGCTGGTGGAGTCGCCGTAGGATCAACAGTGGTGCGTACAGAAATTACGTAACGTGAACATTGTTTTATTTAATTTCTTATAAAGCTGATGATTTTTCTATTTCGAGTATAAATTACGCAACTATTTGAAATAATTTCTAATACATAATGACTAAATTATTCTATCTATTGCTTAATTGGCTTGTCGCCAAATTCATTATGTTGTGATTGATCATGTGATGTATTAATAAAAGGTAAATTTGTTTAATTTTTACTTTATTTTGCTTTTTAAATATGCCATATTTAATATTTTAATTTGATATCACATCTGATTATTAGATGACAAAGCCTACATGGTAGCATAGAGGAATGATGCATGTGTTCATAATATTTTTGGGTTGGCTTAAAGATATCAGGTACTTGATTTTAATAATATTTTTAGTCTAGGAGGCTTGTTAGGGTTAAGCTTGAACCTATTACACTGTTTTTAGATGTTGGAAATGTGTTTTGAATTATTTACGATTAAAGTAAGTTTCATTAAAAATTGCTTATAACGAAAAACATTTATGTACATTTGTTCTAGTATTGTGTAGTTGACATCAAGTACTTTTTTTAATTTTGTTTTCAATTTAGGAAGTTTGTCAGGGTAACCTCGAACATTTTACACTGTTTTGGATTTCGGAAATGCCTTTTGAATTAAATACGATAAAAATAAATTTCGCTATAAATTGCATAAAACGAAATGCAAATACTCTATCATAGCAGAGTTTAGGGCAACGTGACTTTATAAATATGATTGGTCGATTCTGTTCTAAAACCGAAAGAGCACACTCTGACTCCACATAGTCTTGTCTGCCCTACCCCTAGAGTGTTTTTATAAAGCTGTAGGTGTGGAGGGAGTGCAGCCCTGCCCCCTGCTTCGGCTTATTGGTCGCCTTCGGTGACCAGATTCAGCCGCTACGGCTCACATGGGTACCTGCATTTCGCTACGCAAGGCTGAAGGGGCTGCACACCCGCAGCACTGAAGCTGTTATAGAAGTAACTTTGTGTCAATATTCCTGTCTAAAAGAGTGCGGTTATGATTTTACAAAAAAAAATTATTATTCATAAACTATACATTTCCCTAAAGAGGGAAAGGTAGGGGAGGCGTCCCCTAAACTCTCCCCCTACCTCAACCATATGCGAGTACCAGATGTGTATAGTTTAACCATATTTTTGTCCTTCCCTTCCTTTGGGTAATCTCTAGTTACCTACACTGGAAGTTGACTTTCTGCGATATTCGTGCACATATAAATGCTAGTTGATAGAGATGTGCCACCAGAGTTGCCAACTCTACTGAATATTTCATAGATCTATGGAATTTTCTCATCATCTACAAAACTACATAATTTGAGTTGAAATCTACACAATATGATTTCTGTGTTAATTAAAGTTTTGTATGTCACAATCCTTTCTGAATAATTAGATTTTTAATTTAACAAAAAAACTTTTTTTATAATGAGTGTGAACTTAGCCGACAACCAACAATATACAATTTTAACAATCGATATCATGTAATTTATCAAGTAAACTAACAGGAACTAGAAAAATAAATATATGTTAATTTTAGTGATATTGGTCTGTTGTTTTTCATTTGTCTAATTATTGCTTCAAAATTTTCCAGCATCTAGTTTGTAAGATAATTTTTTTTTAGTAAATCTATCCACATATATTTAAGTGTTAATGGTTTTTTTTGTTTTTAACTGAAAGTAATTTAATTAAAAGAAAACAATCAATTTTTCATGGTACTTTTTTTTGTATGCTTTAGCTTGATTCAATGTTATACTACAATTGAACTTACAACTAGAATATTACATGACAAAAAGAATTTCTTCAAAAAATTGATCTATTCTATGACCAAAACAAATATATATATATATATATATATATATATATAAGAATAAATTGAAAATTATTATTATAATGAATATATCTTTCTGTATTTAATAAAAACCAATAGTATCTTATAAAGATTTGTATATAAAAATTGTGTATTTACTATATATTCAAAATCTTTTATTGTAATAAAAGATTTGAATATATAGTAAATACACAATATTAGCAGGGACAACAAATTTTTTCAGTAACCTCAATATAATATAATATTAAATTTTTCAATAAATTCTTTAAGGCACGTCATAAATATTCTATTTAAAACATGTTGCATTTACACACCAATGAACCACAAAATATAAAATAAAATTGAATCATAATTGATAACAATGATATTCAATTATTTATGTAATATTGTAACCCTAGTTTTAGTTACCCTGCCTTGTTCTCTTGTCACCATTTAGTTCCTAAAAACTATATCTGTGCAGCCACTCAAGACTAACTTCAGCCTGGACAAGATAGAGAATGTGTACTATACACTGTACTGTAGGTACTGTGTATTTAACTCAATCATCCTAATGGTAATAAAACTGGAATGAAATTCCTCTTGACATTAAAAAAATCTCTCAACAAGTTACATTTAAAATTAACTCTTAATAAGTAAAAACCAATGTCAGGAATTAAATAATGGTCCCGCCATCCAAAAGTGAAATTATTTTTAGCTAACTTCAAAAAAGGAGGAGGTGCACTATTTAACTGAATGTGTTTTTTTTGTATGTATGCTGTTATACTATATATTTGTTAATTGTGGAATTTTAATGATTCTTTCTCAATTTACTAGATCGTACTTCAGGGTGGTTCTATTTAAAACTTGGGGTGGAAATTTCATCCCTAAGGGTAGTGAATAGGTAATGAAGTTTTTAATGTAACTATTAAGACAGCATTATAATGGTGATATTCCTTAATCCATTCAAAAATAATTAACTTTTACCATAACCTTTCCACATATTGAACTCCATTGCTGAATATAGGCCTCCCCCATAGATTGCCTCATTAGGGGATATTTGGCATGGTTGCCACACTCAGCAAGCGTTTTTTTTTATAGGATAGGGTGACAAATGAGCACACACCACCTGATGGTAAGTGGTTGTTGACAATCGCAGTTTTTCCTTTCTAGTCATAAATAGAAGGATGCTGCAAGCCCATCTGATTTATTTCCTTCTGTCACCCACGGGATGATGTGTGGTAGTAGATTTTCTTACATTGCCACTACATGGTAGCTTCAAATAACTAAATTACACATCACATATTTTTCAAATTTTGTCAACAAATATTTAAGTAGTTTGTATAAATATTTATATATGTATATATACTTTGTTTTTTGTTTAGTCTAGCCCATTTCTCTATGGATGATGTTTTCATAAGATTTTTTTTACAGGGTCACGTCGCTGGTAGTGCTCTAACTGGATTGTTTGGTGGTGGTGGTAGCAGTGAAGCAGTGCAGCAGCAGCAGCAACAACCAGCCCCTGTTCAATCTCCTTACAGCCAATACCAAGCACAGCAGCCACAAGGACCTTGCGCCTGGGAGATTAAGCAGTTTATAGAGTGTGCTCAGCAACAGCATGACCTGTCGCTGTGTGAGGGTTTCAATGAGGCCTTGCGCCAGTGCAAAGTCAACAACCACTTATAAATAATAAATGCACTAGTTGGAAGGCGCTAATGACTACAGAATGATTTTGTTCATGTTTCATTCCTTATAAAGAGATAATTAAAAATGTTGTCCTTTTAAGATTTCTAGAAACTATCAGGAGTCTTTTTTCTTTATAATTCTTTAGCGGCAAAGAAAATTCAATAAAACGTAAAAGTTATGTAGTAGTAAAATTTTGTGTGATAATAAACATATTTTATTTAAGGTGACATTATGTAATGTAGATATACTAATTTAATGTCAGTTATTTAGTTATATTGCAGACGGTAGAATGTTAAATTATAAATAAATATAATCAGCAAACGAAAAACAAATCAATGTTTTATTTTACATCTTAATGTAATGGTATAATATACCATAAGTCAACAAATCAAAAAGTCCCTGCAAGTTTATAATTATTGTAATGAAGTACTACGAGACTGATTGGTGGCTTTATTAGTTTCAAACGAAATTTTTATTTTTATTTAGTAAAATGTTCAGCTGAAGTTTTACAGACGTTGCCTATTCCAAATGATTGAATTTTATGGAATTCATTATATAGTAAGAGCCACCAGATGTCGCTAGTTGGACCCGAGGTGAAGTTAATTGTTACATTATGTTTGTGCTCGAACAAAAAGAGTGGGAATAACGAAGACTTGTATTTCACACGACGTTCAACCCTTATAGTAATTCTACTTTTACAATGGCACTGATATAGATTAGTTATAATATTGCGGAAAATAGGTTGGAACCATAGTCCACAAGAGCGTGCGCGTCTTATAGCGGTACGTGCTGCACGGCGATTGTTCAATCCGGTCCGTAGGTACTGTCGTAAACATACTGTCGGTTGTTGTAGACACACGTCATTTAATTGAGAAGTTAGTTTTAAATAAAAGTTTATTAGTTTTTAGAGTATTTTTAATGTTCTACCTCTAAGAATATCCCTAATTTGGTTTATTAATTTCTAATGTAATTAATATAAAATACCTATAATAATACTTAGTACAGAAAGAAACATTAACCCTTACATTTTCGTAACAAATCAACCTCCTTCCTCCAAGACCTCCTATCAAATAATTCACCTCACTCCAAAGTGGCGCCGCCCTTGTGGCAGAAAAAGTGAATACCAGTAGAGACGCCACACACTGTCAGTTAAACTGATCATTCCAACTGATTGGTCCAAACTAAAACTGTTGATATTTTTTAAAATAGTGGATTTTCGATAATATATCGATCATTATTCCACTACCATCTCGAGACGGCGAGGCCGGCTCTGCTCTTTCTGACCGAGACGCAGGTGTCCTCTCCGGCTGATGTCTCTGTCTGAGACATCAGCCGGAGTAAAGTGGGTAGAAGTAGGGGAGAGCCAGGCTAAAAGTTACCAGGCTAAGTTGTTCCGAATGGTATAGTTCTAAGAAAAAAAGAGATAGCTATATTTGGTTAACTCGTCGCAAAATAGAACGGTATAGCGCACCGACGTCTGCCATCTTATTCACGCCAGTGGCAACAGATACTTGAAAAAGGAGACTCATGCGTCGTCGATCCACGTAAGTAAATATTTTCATCTCTGTTATTTTCAATATATTGTTACGCCACACCGCCACAGCCAATCACAGCGCACCATTCAAGCCAGCCAATCGTAGCCAAGCCAAACCAAAGCCACCACTCTAATTACCGGATGCCTCTGGTAGGGGGTCCAGCTATATAGTGCCTTACAACCTCATTTTTGGGAGTTCTTATAATACCGCTCTTATAAGACGAAACGCTGTCGAAATATTAAAATTAAATAAAATTATTGTGCTTATAGTTTTCTACCCTCTTTTATTTTAATAACTGTTACATCTCAGAAGTGGGATAAGAAGTGAAAACTATGAAGCGTGGTCACGTCAATATGCCAAGAAAAGGCCATAATGTCCGCCCTCAAGAATGGAGTGAATCACCATGTGAAGATTCATCAAATAAAAGCGACACTGAAGACGAGGACACACAACCAAATACTCCTCCAGCACGGAAAATCCTTAGAAGGCTATTGGAAACCGAGGTACAAAAGGCAATGCAAGGGTTAGACGAAGAGTTACCCTCCGTAACCACAGGAAAAGAACACCGCGCGGCCTTACTTATTCCAGAGTTCGACCCCGATAGTGAAGAATGTAGTACTGCAACAGCATGGCTCAAAAAAATAATCAATTCGGCGAAATTCACGGCTGGAGCGAAACTACAAGGTCGTTTTACCTGCAACATAGACTAAGAGGTCAAGCAAGACGATGGTACAATCGGCTTGATGAGTACGATTATTCCTGGCAAGAATGGAAGCAGATGCTGGTGCGTGCTTTTCCTAAACATCGCGATTTCGGAAACATGCTAGAAGAGATGATGAGCAGAAAGAAACTACCAACGGAATCGATGACTAAATACTACCAAGATAAAGTGGCCATGTGCTTCCGGTGTAAGTTGTCTGACAACGCAACAGTCTCCTGCATCATTCGTGGTCTACCATCATCTCTACAAGCGAACGCGAGAGCATATCAGTGCGAGCATCCCGAAGAATTATATGAAGGTTTCCTTTGTGCACTGGACGATTATCAACCGCCGTCAACGTCAATTGGAACACGTGTGCAAAATAAAGATTCCAGCAATCGACAGATAATCGATAAAAAATACACACCTATTAACCCTGACATCGATCCATGTCCGCGCTGTAAGAAGACCGGCCACATATTACGTAACTGCCCTTATCCAGATTCGCGAACATGCTTCAAATGCGGCAAGCAAGGCCACATTGCTACGCGCTGCACAATCGCTCTGAAACCTGCAACAGCGATTGAAGGTAAAGTTATGGAAATTAAATTTTTACAAAACCTCAATAAGATTTACGAAAAAGTGGTAAAAATCAACGGCATTCACGTTAAATCTTATATTGACACCGGCAGCCAAGTAAATGTACTATCTATCCACGTGTCGAGACTATTGGATCTCAAAATTAGCCCGACCAACATCATCCTAAAAGGATTCTCGGGAGAGCATTTACCCAGCTGCGGAGAGGTAGCTTTCAAACTAGAGATTGATAATATGCATATCCCTTGCAAGGCTCATTTAACAGACGTAGATATGGGGAACATCAATCTTTTGGTTGGACAACCCATCATCAACAGTGATGGAATGACTTTAGAGGTCAGGGAAGGAAAAGCCACTCTGAAACAAGACACTGACTTTATAAGACAAATGGATGCGATTGAAGAACGCGCTCGCTTTAAGGTCGTCACTACAGAAAAAGAGTCTCTAGTGCCTGGACTTTCTATCATCAAAGTCAACGTGATAGATAATGATGAAGATAACGACGTCGTCACTACGCCACAACATTATGAGCTACGAGGTGTTTCGTACTCAATTCCCGCCACTCTGCTACGAGGCACCGTCGGGTACATCAAAGTCATCAACAATGGAGCTCAAAACGTCATCTGGGAGCAGGGAGAGGTGCTGACCAGAGCAGATAGCTGCGTCGCCTCACCGCCACCAGAAGTTCAGGTTAGCCCACAAAATTACACTTTGCCATTGACTTCAGTAACCAAAGCCAATAATGATTGTTATAGCAACTCTATAGCATCTCTGTTGCACACTAGCCTAGCCCATGTTAGCACTATTGGGGGAATAAACGTAGAAGATATTAAGTCGGGTCCATTAAATAAAAACGATCACGATAGTTTAATTGCCTTATTGACTAATTACAGTGACTGTTTTGCGAATAAAACACAAGACTTGGGATGTACAGATTTATTAAAAATGAAAATAAAATTAACAAGTGATCAGCCTATATACCGCCAACCCTACCGTTTGTCACATAGTGAGCAGGAGATAGTTAGGTCCAAAGTCACCGAATTATTAGACGCAGGTATAATCCGAGAGTCTGAATCTTGTTTTGCTTCTCCAGTTATCATTGTAAAGAAAAAGAACGGCGATAGTAGGCTCTGTGTCGACTATCGAGCACTTAATGCTATTACAGTCAAAGATAGGTATCCGTTGCCCAATATCGATGATCAGGTTTCAAAGTTAGCCGGCAAGAGGTTCTTCACAAGTCTTGATTTAGCACAGAGTTACCATCAGGTTAAAATTGATCCTGAAGACATACACAAAACCGCATTTATCACACCGCAGGGGCACTTTGAATATACGCGTGTCCCGTTTGGATTGGCTAATGCACCAGCAGTTTTTATGCGGCTTATAAACAAGATCGTAGATTCATTACGAAATCCCAATAACTTTTCAAAAGGCGGTAGTACGAAAACACGCAATAATTTTACGAACGACTATGAAGTGTTAGCATTTTTAGACGATTTGTTGTTACCATCATTTGATGTGCAGTCAGGCTTAGATATTTTAGAGAAGGTTCTTCATAAATTAAGATTAGAAAATTTAAAACTAAACATGAGTAAGTGTTCATTTTTACAAAATAAAATCACATACTTAGGACACGAAATTACACCGAGTGGCATTCAACCGGGCGAATATAAGTTGGCAGCAGTGTCACAGTTTCCCACTCCTAGTAACGTTCACGAGATACGTCAATTTATTGGGTTATGTAGTTACTTCCGTAAATTTATTAAAAATTTCGCGTTAATTGCTCGCCCATTAACCGACTTAACAAAGAAAAACGTAGCGTGGAATTGGGGCCGTGAACAATCTAATAGTTTTGAACAATTAAAACAATGTTTGTGTACAAAGCCTATACTAGCTTTATATGACCCTGCATTACCGACGGAGATTCATACGGATGCATGCAAATCAGGTATCGCAGGCATTTTGTTGCAAAAACAAACTGATAATTCATTACGCCCCGTTATGTATTTCAGTAGGGTAACGAGTAAAGAAGAAAGCATGTATCATAGCTACGAGCTTGAAACTCTTGCGGTAGTCGAATCGTTGCGTAGGTTTAGGGTGTACATCGTAGGCAAACATGTCAAGGTCGTGACTGATTGTACAGCCGTTCGTGCCACTTTAACTAAACG